GAACAGGGATGTATATGACTTAATGGACCGAAACATTCCTCTTTAGCTAATTTTTTTTAATAATTACCGTAATTGATCGTAGTTGTGATTATAGTAATTGTATATTTTATCGTAATTATCATAGTTGTATATTTTTATATCGTAGTTGATACCCCTGTTATTTTTTGATGCAGTACCACTTCTGCACACAACATGTGTGACGACCAGATTTTTCGACTTCTTTTTCTCAATTTGTAAACTTCCATGGTTTGTCAACGAAACCACTAGACAAGCTGAAGGAAAGTGGAAGAAAAATAACGATTGCTTAGCGGACTTATTTATATCCTTTAGACGGGGAGTGGATAGATTTCTCTAGCTCAAGGACCAGGTAAGCTTAGATTATTTGCTTCTCAAATACTTTAAAATATTTTCATTTTTTGAACATTACTGTTTTTTTTTTACATTTTAATTGACTTCAGTTTCACTTCTGATGATGATTTCTGTGTTTTTTTGGCGGTTAACGTGCAGCAGTAGCAGTGTTTCAGCGATGGTTACAAGGATAATGGTTTTATAATTGTCATTGATATGCGTAAAGGGACGACATGGAGCAATGTTAAGCCCATCCTGAAATGCATTCAGGTAGTAGCAGTAGTACTCTTTTTTGCTGAAAATACGGTGCTGAGCTCAGGTGGATTTGGGATATCATATCTGTGTTTGTATTGCAGGAACACTTCCCGGCGGAGGTGCACGCCGTGCTGATCATAAAACCGGATAAGTTTTGGGAGAAGCACAAGACTTCGGTGTCTACGGGCAAATATAAATTTGATGTACAGATGATTTCTGTGGATGGGCTGACGCGTTACATCGATCCGTCCCAGCTAACACGCGATTTGGGTGGCTCGTTGTTTTATGATCACGACGAATGGCTGGAAACTCGAATGGTAAAATTTCACTCTGAAAACTGGTTTCCTATTCAAAAACTGGGTATTCATTGATAAATTAGCCCTCCAGTTTCATATCTGTCAGTTTGGACAGCCTTTTAAAGTCACCTGGCTTGCTGGTTTCTTTATCGAATGTATCAGTTTCGGAAGTTTTCATATATTCACATCGGCATACTAGCGCTGTTGTAAAAAACGCTGCCAGCTTCTTCGGATCTATCAGTTTTGATTGTCTTTATACATTTATACCGACACATTTATGTCCCACTATATTAGGCCTTCTTTTCGTGTGTTGGTTTTCTTGGTCATTGTCCCTCATTTTCGTTCCTCTTTCTGCTGGATCATGATCTCTGATGTATGTATTTTGTTTATTGATTATGATGGTTTCGTTTCAGGAACTTGAAAAACTCATTTGGCAAACGATTGATGTTCTGCGCAGTTTCGAAAGTTTTCGGGAAGAAATGAAAAACGGCGAAATGCCTGTTGATGTGGCAACCGCCGAACGTGCAACAACGGCACATATTGCGATGAAGAAGAAAATAGTCGGCGCCCCGATTGAATATATACAAAATGAAGTGGAACGGGTTAGTACTCGTTTTGAAAGAGTTAATATTTTTTTAACAGAGAACTAGATCGCTCATTCGGGCACTGCTTTGTTTCGAAGCAGACATCCGCTTAGGGATTTTTGAATTTTTTTTAGTCACTGCGGGATTTTTTGGATGTTTCAGCTGCGGAAGTTAGCTAAATTGGCCTAAAAATTGATTTGCATCGTTTAGTTTACTTAATGCTAAAGGCCTCAATTTCCAGTTTTTTTTTTTTTCAAATTTTAGTTGAAGTAGGATTGGAGAACATTGTTTTAACGGCTGCAGAATATATTCTTAATTGTAGTCATGAAAAACAGTGATATTTTAGATTTTAAAAAGTGCTGGGATCAAAAAAATCCATAAATTAACGACTGTAATTCTGCGCCTTTTGATAAGTATTTTTGCGCCTGTGGAGTCTCAGATTGAGCCAATATTTGGTATT